CCAAGTCGAAACGACATGTTAAAAATATGGGTTAATGGTTTGCATATCCCCTCAATTACCCATTTAACAGTTGTCATAGTGATACCATCACTATCACTAGATGTTTTGTTACCACATTTATTCACTATCTCTATAATTTCCTTTTCAACTGTGGGCTTCAAGAACATAGAACTCATGTTCCTTTTGATTGTATTATTATTATTTATAGTAATGGATTTGAAGTGGTCATTAGTGCTCAGCAATGCAGGTGAAATAGCAGATTACAGAAGCAGAGCAACAAAATGGCATGACTCTCCATGATGTCACACCAAATCACATCTTATTACTTACATGTTACACACCAATAAAAAGTAAAATATAAAAAATATGCACACAGAGTAGTATTTTATAATGTGCCTGCCTGATTGAGACAAATGTATTCAGCTCTAATTCTGCATAAATCTATTCTGTGCAGAACCATTTCTGATTTATCACATGCTACATGCTTATGAAAGACTTGCTTTCTCTGTTTTTATCAGTTTCTTTTGTTCATTATCATATACCGGTGAGTGTTAAGTGTAAGGCTTTCCCTGACAATTTGATAAAATCAGGCATGCTTTTCTATCTTAAGAGGATATGACTTTTTCTTTCATTATATAGTATGCAGGGCTTGTGGTGGTGGCCACAGTACGATTATTTTTCAGTATTCTTGAGACGATATAAAGAATGAAAGACTGCAGTAAGCAGTTATTTAAATATGCAAAGCTCAGAGCAGAATTTGTGTTTCAGCGACTCGGTTTTGATGATAAAAATAGTCAGTGTTGCTGTGAGATAAGCACACTGATTAATGACAGTTTCAAAATAAATTTGACTTTTAAACATGTGCGATTAAGAAAATAAATCTCAATGCAGTCATGTTCTTTGCCCAGTGTGTCAGCCAAAATACTAACTATAACCAGCGCGACTAAGGCAGAATTTATTCTTAATGTGGATAGTTCTTTTTTGGAGTGATTATGCTGAATAACTACATAATAAATGACCTCAGGATAATTAAGTCCCCAAATCATTTAGTTAAAAAAGAAAACTTAATCTAATTAGTGAAAATTCATGAGGGGGATCATACTGTACAATAGCAAATTTAGTGAAATATCAGAAACTTAACAAATCCTACATCTTTTTAACTGAGACATCTGTCTAAATGAACAGCTGCAAGAGCTGTAAACAGAGGATAACGATGCTGAAATCTTGGACTGGCAGAGAGTTCATTACATTTCACCGATAAAGCTCAGTCTGGCTCCACTTCCTCACTGTGTGTGCACAGAGCGGGGCAGAGGGTACACAGAGCTGTTCTCGCTGTGATAAAGGAAAAGCCCGTGTTTTTGTGCTTCTACAGCTGCTTGCTCTCACAGAAACCTACTGATGGATGCTCTCCTAGATTTCAGAGATACCTGCGGTGTCTATTTCAGCAATCATGAAACAGTACCACTCCTATTTTAAATCTTAGAGCTAGACGATAGGAAAAGGTAAGCTGCATGCTATTCATGTAGAAGCAGACCACAGCTTCTGGAGACAACCTGATTTGGTCTTAGGAAC